AGACCAACTGAGAAGGTGACTAGGTAAAAAATGGTCTGGTCATCCTATCTACCATTAATGATGATTAAATATTAAGATATCAGTTGGACAAGGTTCCTATGACATAATAGCATATCTTACTAATATCTGCAGATCTTAGTTAAAGATAGATATATTGTGAGCTATTGAACAACTGGCAAGTTTCCTGGATGAAATTGTACTTGAAATGTGATTTGAAAAAATTAGGCAGCATAGCTACTATATATTTATGGCATACGTCTATGTCTTTCAATGCTTTCTACTTTCTCTTTTTTTCTATATAATATAGCTTAGTCTCCTCCTAGTATGTTTTTTTTGGGGGGGGGGGGTAATTTTTTTCCTAGGAAAAAAATAGGTTTTTTTTGCCATAAAAAGCTATATTCTAAAGCTTTTTTTTTTCTCTGAGTGTCAGTAAAATCAATTTCAGTGACAGTTTGTTATGGTTTAAAAAAAATTCCAAAAACTGATGCCCTCCAGACATGTTGGAATACATCTCAAATAAAATATCTTGAATTATGGGAATTGTAACAAAACTGAATAGTACTAGGTTGGAAAAGACTGGCTTAAAATGTCCAACTGTTACTAAGTAATGGTAAATATTTAAATGGCATTTCAGTTGTGTTGAATAACATTTTTGTTTATCATTTCAGCTATGAAGTCTTATATTCCATTTTTCATTCTTCTGTGGAGTGCTGTTGGAATTTCAAAGGCTGCCAAAATAGTTATTGTGCCGCCAATTTTGTTTGAAAGCCATCTATATATTTTCAAGACCCTGGCTTCAGCTTTGTATGAACATGGCCACCAGACTGTTCTCCTTTTGTCTGAGGGCAGAGAAATCCCTCCATCAAGTCATTACAGACTACAACGATACCCAGGGCTCTTTAATACAACCACCTCAGATGAATTTCTTCAATCCAAAATGAGAAGAATCTTTTCTGGGAGTCAAACAGCATTGGAGCTGTTTGATATTCTGGATCACTATTCCAAGAACTGTGACATGGTTGTGGGCAACAAAAAGCTCCTGCATGCCCTGAAAAAGGAAAAATTTGACTTGCTACTAGTAGATCCTAATGAGATGTGTGGGTTTGTTATTGCCCATCTTTTAGGAATTAAATATGCTGTTTTTTCCACTGGCCTTTGGTATCCAGCAGAAGTAGGTGCACCTGCACCATTAGCATACGTCCCTGAATTTAATTCACTTCTCACAGACCATATGAACTTCCTACAAAGATTTAAGAACACTATTGTTTATCTGGTTTCAAGATTTGGAGTCAGTTTTTTGATTCTGCCAAAATATGAAAGGATAATACAGAAGTATAGTGTACAACCAGCAAGGTCCATGTATGAATTGGTTCATGAATCCAGCCTGTGGATGCTATGTACTGATGTAGCACTGGAGTTTCCAAGACCTACGCTACCAAATGTTGTTTACGTGGGAGGAATCCTGACCAAACCAGCCAGTCCTCTACCAGAAGTAAGGTTTGCTAAATTTTATTGTTATCAAAGCTTGTACAACTTGGGTATTATATGTGAATAGTTTTCATACTTATTTATTCTCAGGATCGTGTTGTAAGCATGCTACTTTATTTTGTTTCTATATGTTCCTTCTTTCCTCTGTGGTCCTCTTGTAAACAGCTCCAGAGAATTTGAGGGAGTGCTTTTGATTTGGAGGAATATGACATTAGGAAACTAATGAATAGAATATTTAAGTTATACATTGTTCAACCAGCTGTTCACCACATTTCCACATGAAGTTAAGAAACATGAAATTTCAATTGTTGTAATCAACACCGGATAGTTCACGCTGTTTGATATTTTAATAATTTTTATTTCAGTAAGTTTAAAAAGCAGAAGAGCTTCAAATCAAGTTAGTAAAAATTAATTGATTGTTTTTCACTAAATCTGTGAAAGAGATGTTTAAGATTGTTTAAATATATGCTATATCTATTTGTCATTAAGACAAATTATTTGTCTTAAAATAGTGCAGTAAGTTGTAATTTGAATGATATAAGTCACAAGGTTTTGTTTGCTTTCTTTGGGACCTGAGTGTTTTTGTGTGATTCGGTAAAGAATCTTATATTTTTAAAATGATGTGTGAGTCACATAAAACATTGAAACATTGTTTGTAGTTGTATTAGCACATGCTTTTTAACTAATAAGTTTACTGTCCTTTTAAAAAGACATTCCAGTCAAAGGGTCCAAACAAGCATTTTTCTTAATCATCATCTAGAGGTAAATAGTTACATAACATAAAAGATAGTTTTTAATAAACTCCAGAAAATTATATCGATTATATCAGTGCAGTCTTGCTATTTAGCAGTTATCCATCATACCTTTCTTGCCATTTTTTTACTGTACCTGTTTTCTGCATTTAACCCACTTGTGAACATTTTCTCTTTCATTCCTTGTGAACAGCAGCTGCCAATATGCTTGCTCTTCATTGTTCAGGTGCTGAATGGGGAAAGAGAAATAAATACCTCACACCTCCCCTACTTTGCCAGTGTTACTAAATGTTCTGATATTTCTTTCTTCATTCTGAAAGTGGTGAGGGGTCCAAATTATAATAAATGAATATAAAAATTTTAAACTAAGGAAAATATCACTATTTAAATAAATTAAACTCTGCTTTTAAATCTAGTAATATGGAACAAATATATAAGGGGGAAAGTTTGAAAAAATTAAACCATGCAGTTGAGATTCACTGTAAATTAGTACTTATTTAAAGATTATACATTTTCTAAATTGAGAGAAGGACAATATTTTTTCAGCTTTTCAGTTATATTTTTAAAATGTTTCTTTTTTAAACTGACAGAATATCATTCTTATGAGAGAATGATACAGTGATTGCAAAAATACACCCAGAATATTCAAAGTCAGAGGGATTTAGACTTTGTAAATTGATCTAAAGGATTCATGTGGCTTGTGGGTCAACTGCATTTAATAATAAAACAACTAATTCTAAGCAACAGTATTTTCAGTAAGATTGATGTACACTTTTAATGCCACACTTGGAATACTGCACCCAGTTTTGGTCACCATGATGTAAAAAAAGATGTTGAGACTCTAGAAAGAGTGCAGAGAAGAGCAACAAAGAGGATTTAGGGGACTGGAGGCTAAAACATATGAAGAACTGTTGCAGAAACTGGCTATGATTAGTTTGATGAAAAGAAGGATGAGGAATGACATGAGAGTAGTGTTCCAATATCTGAGGGGTTGCCACAAAGAAGAGGGAGTCAAACTATTCTCCAAAGCACCTGAGGGCAGGACAAGAAGCAACAGATGAAAACTAATCCAGGAGAGAAGGAACCTGGAATTAAGGAGAAACTTCCTAACAGTGAGGACAATTAATCAGTGGAATATATAACAATAATAATATTATAGATTGTATACATCTAAATTCCAAAAGGGGGCGCGGGCCAGCTGAAAGGACACCCGGCCTTTGTTGTAGGTCGAACCCTTGGCGAGCCAACCGCCTTTAGATCTTATTACTGTCCTTACTTCTAACATGGCAGATGACAATTCCGCTAAAGGCCCTTCATTGAAGGCTTCTAAGGAACCTTCCAAGGCCTCTCAGAGAGACGCCCTAAGACGTCATAAGGCACTGGAGAAGGAATTTGACAGGCGATCTAGAGAGTCACAACCGGTGCCTCCAGCCCTCCCGCCCTCCATTCCTTCTACCTCCAGACACCCCCCCCCTCCTCCAGATTGCTCTTCCCTCTCCAGGCGCAGCTCATCCCAGGGACACCAGGTCCCTGGACCAACGACCAGACGGACGCCCGAAGCTACATTCACGCCCACGGCCGCTGGTCTGCGCCAGGAGGAGGCCGCCACAGTCGAGATCCCTGCACAAATGCAGGCATGGATGGAACGGGCCATCCGCCAGGGGATTGCAGAGGGCCTTCAACAGATGTCCAAGTCCAGTCCCCCATCGATGGCGCCCGAACATGAGTCGCTATCAGTCAGGTCCTCGCCTAGATCGGACCCTCCTCTTGGTCAGGTACCTTTACAGAGGGACAGCCCTCTCCCAGAAGGGGAACTGGAGGAGGTCATAGAAGACCTGGATCAGTTCAGGGAGGAGGGGGAATTTGAATGGGGGTCTACGCACCACGGGGAGCCTCTATCGGAGATAGATCCTATGGAAGGGGACATGTCCGAGGACAAGGGTCTCATTCCCGATCAACCCACCTTTGTGGGTCTGTTCAAGCCACACATGTTTAAATCACTCCTATTTAAGGCCAAGAACATATCTGGCCTGTCTGTACAGTCCCCCTCGGCTCTCCCTTCCCCGGCGGAGGGACAAGAGGACGCCATTTTTAGGCAGCCCATGGTGGAAGCGGAGGTTATTCCGGCTCTACCCATATTTCACGACCTAGTTTCAAACCAGTTGGACTCTACAAGGGCCCCTCCTGCCCCATCTAGCCAGGACAAGAGGTTCTTTAACCTCGATTCAAGCTTCTGCAACCTGCTTAACTCCCTCGAGGTAGATGAGCCCATCGTGGGCTTGGCATCCTCCTCCTCCCCCAGTGACCCCCTGGAGGCTCTGAAACCCGAGGACAAGAGGTCCGAACTAGCCTTACGTAGGGCTCACCAAGCTGACGCCTGGGCCATTAGATCGGCTACGGCCGCCTCCTTCTTCACCAGGTCTTCGATCCGGTGGCTCCGCCAACTGAAACAGCATGTCCCCCCCTCTAACACAAGGGCACATCAGGACATCGCCAAACTGACGGCCGCGGCAGAATTCTCGGCCGACGCCACCTACCACGCGGTTAAGTTCTCCACCCGAGCAATAACCTCCCATGTTACAGCCCGCCACCTGCTCTGGCTCAAACACTGGCAGGTGGATGTAAAAAACAAGGTTAAGTTGGCCTCTGCCCCCATCAAGGGGGACAAAGTATTTGGCACTGCCCTGGAGCCATTACTAGCCGAAACCCGAAGCAAGAAAAAATTCCTTCCCCCCCTTTTTCGGAGGTCAGAGTCAAGAGCCCCTCAGCCATTTCGGAGAGGTTCCTCCCGACCTTTCTACCAGTCACCCTTCCCGCCCAGGTACCCGAGACCCCCCTCCCGGCCATTCCAGCCCCAGGATCGAGCCGATCCGGGCGACAGGAACAGGAGGGGCGGCAGCTACAGGTGTCCCTTCAGGGGTTCAGGAGGGAAGCCCTTCCGGCGCTCCAGATAGATCCCATCCCTCCCTCCCCATCGGCGGACGCCTCAAGCATTTTGCTGACCGATGGGACTCCTCCACCTCCGATGCCTGGGTCCGGGACACCATCAGACTTGGTCTCGCGCTCGAATTCCAGCGCGCCCCCCCTGACTTTTTTATGGCATCCCCCCCCTCGAGGGATCCCATGAAACGCAATTTAATGGATTCAGCTATTCAGCATCTCCTCAACATACAGGCCATACAACCCATCCCACCATCCCAGCAGGGGCAGGGGCTATCCTAGACCTGAAACGTCTTAACCGCTACCTGGTCTACCTCAGGTTTAAGATGCACACCCTACAGTCCATTCTACTGGGCATCAGGCAGGGGGACTGGCTATCCTCTATAGACCTGTCAGAGGCGTATCTTCACATCCCAATCCGGCCCTCCCATTCCAAATTCCTCAGGTTCTGCTACAACCACCACCACTTCCAATATGTGGCCCTTCCCTTTGGGTTGGCCTCTGCCCTGAGAACCTTCACTAAGGTCCTCGCGGCTCTGGCGGCCCATCTCAGGAACCTCCCGGTTTGCCTCCACTGTTACCTGGATAACATCCTCATCCTGTCTCACTCCAGACTCCAAGCAGAGAAGGATATCAGAGCTACCCTCTCTGCCCTCCAAGACCATGGGTTCCTAGTAAACTGGCAAAAGAGCCAACTGTTACCATCTACACGGATCACCCACTTGGGGTCCGTCATTGACTCAGTTCAAGGAAAGGTTTTCCTTTCCTCGGAAAGATTCCTTAGCATCCAGGAAACCGTCAAACACATCAGATGATCAAGAAAGGTAACACTTTTAGAATTGTCTAAATTACTAGGTAAAATGGTCTCATGTATCTCCATTGTTCCCTGGGCCCGTTTACACACCAGATCCCTACAGTGGTTCCTGCTCCCGTTCCAAAGGACCGGCAGAAGCAATTCAAAGGCCACGGTCAAGGTGCCTTCAAGGGTCCTCACGTCTCTCCTCTGGTGGACCAGTCCCGCCATCAACAAGGGACATTGCTTCAAGGAGCCCCAACCATTGGGCGGAGCGCAATCTCCTCTCCCTCAAAGCCGGACACATCTCAGGGGACTTAAACACCCAAGCAGACTGGCTGAGCAGGACCACGGTGGACCAGTCCGAGTGGCGCATCCACCCGTCACTGTTCAGGGAGTCGTCCAGGATGTTCGGTCTCCCGTCAGTGGACCTCTTCGCATCCCCCCTCAACACACAACTCCCCAGGTTTTTCTCGAGGTACCCCTCCCATGGGGCCGAGAACTACAACGCCCTCCGTT